AGTAATTATTGTGAAAACATTTACCTACACTATGAATAAAACGATAAAAAAATATATTTCAGTCATTTTTATTCCATCCCTTCTACAACAACAAAGTTAATGTAAAAGCATAATTTAAAGAATAATTATTTATTGTTAGAACTTACAGAGTTCCACTACACGTTTGACGATGAAGTCGACAACGGCAGTATTCCTATAATTACTCTAGAAGTAATGTCGGACTCGTCCATCCCTGACCCGATCATTGCCAACTACGTGGATGGGCCAGCGCCTAGCGGGCCATTCGATGACGCCCTCAACAAGGATACTGGAGTACATTTCCTAACAGAACAGATGCAGAAACTTGAACCGAAATGTGAAGGGAATAAAGAAGAAGGGAAGGAAGTAAAAGGAAGGCATGATCTCTTGGAGTACATGTTGCGGACTGACGGTAGCGTCATCTGTAAGATGTGTGGGGAGATACTGCAGAGTCGCACACATTGGTACAGGCACAAGTACAAGCGGCACGCTGCTCAGCCGCCCAACCCCGCACCCTTGTTCCAATGCGAGCAATGCCTCGTCTATTTTAAGAGTAGAAAAGGTAAGGATCGTCTTGACGTTACGCTCACTGTCTTATACCCATTTTAGATCAGATAACCAATCATTTTCTGGTTTACATTCGAAATACCAATTATATATTTTTGCATATCTTTTGGTTCAGGATATTAGGAAATCCAATCAAACTCCTAAAATAAGGAAAAGCCATGATTGGGTTTGTGTGCAATGTAACTACTTACAAACAGTTATAATAAAGTATTAAACAAATATAAGTAATAGAAAAACTTGGTATTTATTTTTTCTTGTAGATCAGGTATTTTTCAGAACACCCATAGATCCTACTAGTACCTAGTTTTCATATACGCGGAAGCTAGTCAGTATCGACTACCGATATCTACTATGTTTGTTAATGTACTATGTTTGCTTAAAAACTATTGAATGATCTTGATGAAAATTAGCACAGATATAAATTGTAGTTTGGAAAATCATATAGGCTACTTTTCCCGGTAATACATGCTAAGAATATTTCTTTTAGAATTATGAGAGACATCAGGGTAGATAATGAAATTCAATAGTATTTTTCGTTATCATTTGAACAATCCTCGTATACACATGTACTCAGGGATGGAAAAAAAAGAAGTCTCCTAATCGAAAACATTTCCATTAGCGTGCCACACATTTCTTTGATGATGCGAAATGAAAATGTTATACTCATATTTTCAGGATACATTGGGCATATAGCAAGCAGGCATAGTGAATTATTATCAGACAGTAGTCCAGTGTTAACGAACACGCAAGCAATACAGGCCACTGACAATACGCTGCAGGAAATCAAAGAAGAAACTGACCCAGAGTCCATGATCCCTAAGACCAGCGTGCCAAACTATCAGACATCAGTCGTAAAACACGCGGCGAAGGCTACGGAGACGAAGAAAACCTATCGCGGAAAAGGTAAGGTCTAGAAACTAGGGCTTTACATAAGTTTTAACTATGCATGAACACCTTTACAAATACGTTTTCCGTTTAAAACATTTATTCAATCTCCATAACCAACCTAGAATAAATGGAACAGTTTTTATAGCACCCTTTATATGAAGCAATTTTATATACTTACATAAATTAGTGAAGTCGTGCAAAAATCGTTTTCACGTGAAATATAGCTTATTTGAGGCCATATAGTCAAAACAGACCCAAATGCAGATCCAAATTTCTAAGCGTACACCTACTTAAGTTGCAACGGTATACGCAACTAAATACGTAGCGTAGTTCGTAGCGTGTGGTTTGTAGCGCGTAGTTCGTAGCGTGTGGTTTGTAGCGCGTAGTTCGTAGCGTGTGGTTTGTAGCGCGTAGTTCGTAGCGCGTGGTTCGTACCGCGTAGTAGCAGATTCCGTATTCATCTCGAAAGTGCAAGTTATGAACTCATTGGTGTGCACGGACGGAAAGGCGTTCCCAAATTGAACACCTTGATCAAAATGCATGAAATGATCGATTTTTTCACATCATATGAGATTGAGCTTAAAAAATATAATTTTCACTAGACTCTTCTGATAAACAATAGGTTTGGTAGTAACAAAATGGCCACGCATTTTGACCAAAACGTAGGGTTTGTGCTTTAATTTTTCTACACTGGTGATTTACCAGTTGAGTCCAGGGTTTGTATGTCTACGAAATTGTTAGTAGGAAAATGCTAGTTCGCTCTACGAACTACACACTAACTACATACTTCGAGCTACAGCTGTAGTATTTTGCAGGAACTCGAGGGTGTGTACGGCGAGCGGGCTTTCATACAAACTTTACAAAAACTTGTTATAGCAAGGTCTATAAACATATTTAAGCTTTTTCTAACTGCATACACTTCTATGATTAGTTTCAAGATTTTTAAATTGATTACACAGTGCAAATGTCATAGAACAACGATATTTTTTTTTCAGAACAAATGGTTAACCAAGCAGACTGGGAGGAAAAACGATCTCGTGAAGAGAAATTAGTGGCAGACATTATTGACAGAGTCCGTCGCGAATGTGAGGCGCATCCGACGCCGCAAGCGTCTACCCGTCGTCCGTACGCCCGTCGCACGACTCCTGTCATACATACATTGCGACAAACGAACGCACTGACGTAAGCACGACACGCATGAAGTTCCTTTAGGATAGCCTTAATGTTAAGACAAACGTCTGTAACCAGCGTATGGGTAGTACTACAATTCTAAGAGATGTTCTTTGACTCTCAAAATGCTGCTCAAACAGGGCAGTACGAATTTGGCTAGTGATAATTATAATTTACTTACTGATTCAGTGAAAAATCGAATTGAAGTACTTAATAATCACTGATATACAATACAAAACCATGCTTAGACAAGACAACCGATGCCAAAATACTTATACAAAAAAGGGATTGCCAAACCCGATCCTCAAAATACTTCCAAATGATATCTCGAATAATATATATCAATACACAATTTTCAGAACTGTTATAAATGAGTATGAGGATGCTCACCGAATAATACCTACATAAAGTTATTGGCAGGACAATTTATAAAGTGCTTAGATATTATCTTGGTAAGTTATACCTACGCTATACCGAGAACACATAATATATGTATTAGCCATATAATATCACCTACAGCAGTCCTCAATTTTTTAGCAATAAAGTTATACATCAATATTGCAATTTATTAAAGTGTACATGCGCTTTACATGTGCAAATAGTACCTACATAATGGATTTTTAAAGTTTTTTAAGCCAATGAAACTAGAGTTGCGACTGATTGATCGCAGTCGTGTGCTGCCATCGATATTTTAGCATTTAATTTAGGAGTCGGCCTAACATTCACGTTGCATTACATATAGTACTATCTAAGGTATAATAACGTTCCAATCAGTCAGTCAAAGCATCACCCAAATATTTTTGTGCCAAAATAATTGTAAATAGTATTAAGTGTACCTTAGTTATAAGCACTGTGCCAATCATTTTACCTAATACCTAATATTAATACGCCAATAAGTTTTCCAGATACTGTAAATACTTATTATATTAACTTAAATATACAATCAGTGGCTACTCCATATTGAATAATTACCTAATTTTTATGATGTCTTTGAATTAATAAAATTAGGTTTTAAAAAAAGTATGAGCTAGGAATTTTCATTAAGTATGTTCCTATTAGATAGTCGTCGTTCCATTGAAGACATCATATCACGCAAGTGCGGAATTTTAATCAATATTTAAATCATATATCTTTGTATCTATCTACTTACCTTAATCTTCCAATTAGAAATAATTACTTTCAGCTTTCTCTATAATAAGAATGTCTGTATTGTAATCCGGAGTCTCTATACCTACTTATATTTTATGTAGTGCCAAGTACGATACGATAGATACGTATTCTGGCGCTCACATTACAACCTAATATGTTTTTCAGTCGTCCCGAAAGTCCTTGGTTTCAAGATAGGATACCCCTGAACATAACCTTTCTTCATAACCAAGATCTCTCTCTTAAAAATGTTACTAAGTACCTAGGAAGAATTAACACGTCCTAATGTAGTTAGTCTTAACTGAATACATCCTTTATACCGCTGTTAGAGTATTGGGGTTTTTTTGTGAGAGGAAAATCATCAAATGACTTCTCCCGCCCAGGGCTGGGCGGGAAGGAGTGTCAGACTCTTACTGACTAAAAACCCCCCTGTTCCTTCTCATGCTCTGGGCCGAGGTCGCGGTGCCTCATTGCGCTTAACGCGCAATCCTGGCTGAGAGTTTTGGGGGTGCTCTTAGACAACCAAAAAACTAAATACAAAGTCATTGTGTACCTCTTACACTCGCTCACTGTATTTTAATTCTTTAATAATAAATCTGCCATTGTACTTCACTGTTAAGGATAAAATATGTCTTGAAATACTTAAATATGTTAATTGAAAATAACGATTGTCTGACGTGAATAAACTGATAGAAGCTCTACAAGTTTCAAGTCATTACGGGACTCTTATTCATGGGCAGCGTGCGCGTCGCTTTGACGTCGCGCATCCCACGAGGGTCGAGCGTCGGCAGCGCGTCGTTATATGAGTTTTCTCAATCAATTCACTTGAGCCGTTATTTTTAATAAATTAAGTATTTTTCACGATAGTTTCATAATTCAAAATACTTAATAACTAAGTCGTCATTCCAGTAGCATACCTACTTCCAATATTTTTGTATCATCAGGTATTGTATCATATCATATATTTGTATCATTTAGGTACATTATTTTTCATTAACTACCGCTAACTTTTTGAAAACATGAAACTTGATACATAGATAAACATAATTATTTCCTGCTTTCTCCTAGGCAACGTATTAGGTACCTAACTGCAACTAATTCTGTCCCTTATCTTCGTCTACGTTGAATAATATAAAACAAATGCCGGCTATAATTATATAGGAACGAAATGTGAGACTGAAAGTAAGAATAAAAAGTTAGTTTCTCCTGAAATGCCTACGTTACTAGCAATTGTAACAGAGTATTGTAATGATCAGCAATATGTAAGTATACAAGGAATGTATTTGAAAAAATACACGACACGAACCTTAAAAAAGGTTTTAATGTTTAACGTATTTTTTCTGTGATTTATGGCATATACAGTAGGTATGTTATTTTTTTCTGTATCTATTACGAAATGTGTAAGGAAAGTTCTGGCGTACAGGCATACATAACGAAAATCCTCTGGTTCGTGTATTTTTTCAACTGCGCCCAATAATTTTGAAATAAAATTTTTAATGATATTACTTTTTAATATTAATGTATATATGTACTATATTTATTGAAAAAAGGTAGCTTTTTGTGTCTACCTATTTTACGTTTTGTATAAAATGGCTAAATTTCATTTGTTGAACTTGAACAACAAATCGATAAAATAACAAAATCCTGTATCAGGGTTGCCATTTCTGGTAGTTCAGTTTCAAAATTATTTTGAAAATGTGTATCTTGTCATAAGTATAAAAAAATGCTTCATGTTATTTATTTTGTTTAATCTATAAATAGAAGTTGTAAGTATTATTATAATTAACTTCCAAAATGTGTCAAACCTGTAAATATTACTATTTTATCTTATATATACAAAAACTGTGATGAATGTGGCTCAGAAATATACGTATTAAGTGACATAAAAACTTGTTTATTATTAATAAGTATAAAACATCAATTTTGTTTTAAGGTATCCTCGTTATAGCTGTGGTTTGGTATTTCATTATTTAACACTTACTTAGGTATGTACTAACTTATCAGAATAGGGGTCACCCCTATAAATACGAAACCAAGCACGTATAAATAAATAAGATTATATTACGATGATAAATCTTGTCCTAATCTGCATTAAAATGCTGCGTTCTTTTAATATTATTTATGATCTGATCCATCTAAAAAACGAAATTTTCATATACCTACCACGTATTTATTTCATTTTCATAAGTCATGCCATGAGGGGAATAATAATTATCAAATGACATCCCTATCTCTCCAACATGAACACCCAGAACCTAAATGAATGAATGATCTCCGGCTACCGTTAGCCTATAGGTATACGGATGGCGAGCAAAGGTAGCTCGCTGCCCGACCAGAACCAGATTCGAGCGTACCGCGCTTAACATTCCGCGCGCACCTCAAAGAGCTAATAGACCACCGTAGACGGGGTCTTATAGGACCAATGGGTGTTCAGCGGAGGTTGTGAGGCAAGTACAATAAGGTACCGCGGTCTCGGTCTAGAGCAAGAGGAGAAAGGGGCTGGTTTTTATTAGTCAGTAAGACTGTTAGCGACACAATCTCTTCCCACACCCTGGACGAAAGAAGCCATATTCGATATTTTTTCCTTCAAAAATGGGTGTGTAAAGTGTGACATCTTTACGATTTACAAACCTTCTTGAAATTATCCCGCCCTACATATGAAGTTAAGGAGAACAAAGCAGCAGGGATTCCTGTGGCACTTGGCCCACCCATAAACTCATTTCTATTGAGAAAAGTTAGATAATTAAAGAACCTATGCTATCTACAATCCACATGTTGCCAATCAATAAAGTCAATCGATATCAATAACGTTAGTGCAACACAGTACACTTCTTTGCCAAAGTGTAAAAAATAAAAAATAACTGACACTGACAACTGTGACAACCATGACTGACATTTTAATTGTCAAGAATCTTGTTGAGCGACAGCGAGCGGCAAAGATTCGAAGATTTCGAAGTCGAAGAAGAGTAAACAGAGAATACGAGCTTATTAAATAAGTATAGGGAAAGCTAAATAGTATAATAATATAATATAATGAGATTAATGTGCAGTCACGAGCAGTGTGCTGAGATTTGTTTATCAATTATTGCTGTGAGTTTTTGTTTTGTGTACAGAAGAAAAACTTAAGTTTAACGTTAAATGAACCTGTTTTTATATTATTCAACTTAATCAAAATAGCCATGCCGCAGATATTCCAAGTTTTGAGATGCTACAAATGTTTCGTGTTTCAGGTATGTACTGATTCTGTTATTTATATGATTGTTTTGTTCGTGTCTGTCGAATAACATACTTAATTTTGTAAACATTTATGTGGCTATAGGTACACCAAACCAAAAAGTCTAATAAATGGGAATGTAAACTTTGTGGCGAAAAGCAGTCTATAAAAAGGCATTATGGTATAGGAACTGCTAAAGACTGTAGACTACATGTCCAAAAATTAAATACCATGAGAGGAGAGATGGTTAATAAGGAACCCTCAGAAGATCAAGATAGCTATAGTGATGGTGAAGATGCATTAGAAACAGGACATAATTGCAGTTCAACATCAACACAAAGCATTTGCAAACCCATAACAAGTAGCAAATGGTCAAACTATTTGGATGAACCAGAAATTATTGAAGAACCCCCTAATGACAGTATGAACCTGGGTGACGCTAAAGTGGTTTTAGAAATCCCCAAAAAGCCAAGGAAAGCAGTCAAAAGAAATAACACTTATAATAAAGATTATGAGAATCTTAAGAAATCAAGTCCACCTCCCAAAATTGTACCATTATCTAGCAGTAGCACTGAATTAAACACACTGCCGCTTACTTCTAATTCAGAAAATTTAATTTCTCAAATGGATTCCAAAAGTAATATTAAGCCTAATACAAAGAAGAAGTTTATTCCACCTGTAGTCAATAAAAATTCTAAGTGGGCTCAATTTACTGAGAACACTGAAGAATGTGCAGACACAGATTATACAAATACTTCACAGAATCTGGAGCTGTCTCAAAACAATGCCATGTTCTCATTATGTGACGATTCGGACCTAGATAATTTATTGAACATTTAAGAAATTATTATATTTTGTAGGATGAAAGTTAAAGTAATAAAGGACATTGATTTTCTAATAATTTTATTATTACAACCAATACACATTATCATCACAATGGCAACAGTTTAATATCACTTTTATTAATGTCTACTAGATAAATAGCGAGTACTACAGGCATACATTGTAACTTCTACAACAAACTTCAATGATAAAATCCCACAGACCGGGATCATTCCATACACAAAGTCAGTAAATATCTTGCTAATCTTTCACAAGAAAACAGTACCATCACAAATATGAAATACTCATGGTATGGTCACTGCTTGAAGCTAAGTTTAACAATAATGTTACATTGATAATATGTAATTGCTGAATATGAGTTAAAGCTAAATGTACACAGACTCTTAAAAAGACAGACCTTATCCAGTTTATTGTACACTAACTTGCAAAAACATCATTCTTATTGCTATTTGTTCATAGGTTTGTAAAAACTTAAATACATTATAGTGGTCTAACTGTAAAACATTTTGATTGTGTTAGGCAGTGAAATATTTCAGAAAAAAATGTGTTTATAGAATATTGGGACTAAGTTTTGAATAAAAATATTCATAACAATAATTTTGAGACAGAAAACAGCCACATACTAGTACAATAGAATACATAGTTATAGGAAGCCCTACTGCTTTTCGATGTGTAAGAATATCCTAGAATAAATACCATATACCTAATATATGATGTATAGTCACTTAGAAATATATGAAATCAGACTGTTTAAATCTTTACATTTTGTGATTTTGATGTGTGTGTAGATAAATAATCTCCATAACTCGTATTTTGCTTACATCTATTACAATATTTTTCAAAGAGTTGATAGCTTTATTCACAGAAGAAAACTGAGAAAAGTCGTCTCGACAACCTACTGTTTCCGTCCTTAAATTAATATCAAACTATCGTTATTGCTCCCGCCCCGTGCTGCCTGCCAAAGTTCTCTTTAGAAAAAAGCAGCTCGTGTCTGCTCTTCACAATATTTTCCAAAGAATATATTAGCGCTAGACTAGTATGGCGCCATGTGCCTGCGTCTGTGTAGTTCTCTCGCTCGTGCGTATCTTCGACCGTATGTCCATCGCCAAGCCCTGTGCGAAAAATAATATTTTAATTAGTGGGTAGTTTTTTGGTTGTACACAGGTTTGACTGGAAAACAGGAGATTTAAGATTACTCCTCTGGAGGATCTTTTGAGTATACAGATGTGATATTCTTAGACTACAAAGTGAATCTTAGGTTGCTTTTAAGTGCCCTGTTTTAGCAGCACTATTGTGTTTCTTTGCCTTAAGAATTATTGTTTCTTATGATTTTGAAACTTTACCTTTCATTATATCCGACAGAATCACTTCTGTATAAGTGGTCTTCGAATCGTTCGTCAAATCGCCTATTTACAGTTTCTTCGCTGCTCCCTGAAATTAGTACGAGTGTAAAACAACCACTTTAAAGGATTTTATAATGCTTCGTTTATCAACGTCAAAATTATTTACCGTTGGGGTTTGAATGTGAGAATCGTCGACAGGATGGGCCTCTGCAACTCAAAAGTTGCTGCAATTGATTATGGAAATAATCTTTCTCAGCTTGTGTCAGGTATTTCACTCGGTTTTGTGTTTCAAAAGGATCTGAAATTATATCCAATCAAAGTTTGAACATACCATAGATATAGGTGATAACTTTTCTCCAGGCATAATCAATATAAAAGTATTATATTTGTGGTAACGTACCGATTCTCAAATTGTAGTAGGTGACTAGGCCGGTAATAAACTCGCAGTAGAGCAAGTTGTGCGTCGCGTTGATGGTCCTAACGCAATTGTAAGTGTTGTTGGAGGTGCTCATGCAGAAACAGAAGGGACCTGCTGTCCAAAAAGGTGCTGTCCGCCAGTGGTCGTTGTCGTGACGGTAACAATTCATACGTTCAGACTCGCACAGTTTCTCTAGTTCTGCCTAAAAATAAATTCCAAATGTAATATGGTTCTTCACAATTTTGTCGTCCTAAGGTCAATGAAATAATATAACTTACCCTCTTCCTTGCTTTTCTAAGTTTCTTTTGCAGTAATTGTGCTTTTCTCTTTCTCTGTTCCTCTCTCGTCTTCTGTGCTGCTTCCAGGTAGCTGTGACCAGGACCTCGCATTTTTCTGAAATAATAGTAGGTAGTTGTACCTAGGTGTAACATTTACCAATCATTGATGCGTCATCTTCAGATAAATAAAGCTTCAACACTTACCTATTTTCCTCGCAGTAACAAACATGTTTGTCTTCATTTTCTATAAAGAGTGGATGAAGTCTCCTTTGAAACACGTCGACTGGTTTATCAAATATACCCATGCTCTTAGATGTAGCTTTATTAGGGTTCCTCTGCTCGTATTCCGAAGCATCTAGTCGTGCCGGACCGAGGCTTAAGGGCGCAATTGTTGTATGCCTCGGGGTCGTGGTAGACGGTTTCCGTGTTGTGGTTGTTTCAGTGACTGCTGGTTTGCTCGTTGTACTTGTAGTACCGTCTGTTGATAAAATTTTATCAATAGCAGCGCTGAAATGCTTCACATTTTGCGAAAAATATGCTTCTTCCGTAGAATTCTCTTCAGCAGCTGTACGTTTAGTAGTTATATCAAAGTGCATCGGATAATCAGTCGTAATTATCGGATCAGTACTAGTGCTGGTTATTACGCTTTGCAAAGTACTTCTGTCTTCCACACTGTTTTCTTCGTAATTACCTTCTATAATTACAGTAGTAACTTGTGGTTTTGGTATTTCGATTTTTTCTTCAGTAATATTTGTAAGACCAATTACTTCATTGCTAACATTTACAGCTTGTGTTGTAAAAGGGGCTTCAGTGTTTGTCTCATTTTTAACTTGATAATCAAACACATCATCTTTGGTTTTAGCATTTATAGTAGGCACAACATATTCATTTGAATGTCTTAATTTTTTCTCCTGTGCAGTATTGTTTTTGTGTTTTGGTTTCACTCTATGAAGTCTACCCTTTCTGAAATGCTCCTTTGAAGTATTGTGTTCGTGACTAAAGTTCTTACTGAATAAGTGATTGTTAAAAACAGTAGGATGAACAGTTTGCGTTTCAGTTGCTGGTTTGGCAGTTTTTAAATGCCTCTTTATTTCTTTTAAATCTTCTAGTTTGGTTCTTAACTGTCTTATTTGATCTTCTAAGCTTAGTCGATTTGTATGCCAAGCTTTAAGATCGTTGTAAATAATTTGTGAGCAGTTGACTGTTCCATCTTTTTCTATCTTACATTCTAAGGAAGACTCGTTGCTGTTAACTATCGCATCATTCTTCTTATGTTTATTGTGATTCCAGTGTTGAGCCCTACGTTTTATTCTTTTATGATCTATGTTTTCTTTGGTACGTTCATAAGCCTCAAGGAAAGCTTCAGTTTCCCTAATAAGTTTATCAATCTTATCCTTTGTATTTCTACTTTCAAGCTCATCAATTGGTTCATTCTTGAAACTCAAGTGTCCTATACTTGGGTTTTCTTTAAGAATGCTATCAACTGTATTAGGTTCATATACCTCATTATCTATAGACCTTCTACTGCGAGTACCGTTCTCTTTTGTGACTTCAGCTAGTCTCCGAGCTATAGTACCATCAGTTTCGAGTCTTGTATATACAAGTCCACTGGGTGTGAAGCATGCACATTTTTTGGTGCTCATCTTTGATTGCGGCAAATTAACTTCACTCTGAAATATATGTTAATAAAATGAGTTTAAGTCTTAATTACATTCGAACAATAATTTGTGATGTTATAAACTTTACGAACCTCATATCTACATTTGTGCCGTCGCCATCTACCGTTTATTAGAACACATTTCCACTTCCTACCCGCGGAACAAGGAGCACGAAGCTCAGCCTTTGAGCAATCGGCAGCTATTCGAGCTGCTTTACCTTCCAAACCGCTGGCATCTGCTACTTCTAAAAATTAAAACCAATTACATAGGTATAGGTACTTAATAGTTAAGGAATTATTTTCAATTTAAATTATTATAATCTTTCATGGTTCTTACGGTCGTATAGCTTGTTCCCAGGTGTGAGATAATTTGGTTGTTCTTCAGCGTCAAGCACCTTCTCAAGGCTAGCTTCCAACAATGGGTTATGACTCTCGTTTGTCAATAACGGTTCCGATGACTTCTTTAGAGAGTCGATCGAGTCACTTTCTGAGCTTTCCTGGGAACAATTAAAATAGATTTAGATTGAAGAGATATTTAATAATCGTTTTCACAAAAATTGTCTTATCTAAATTGTCCTTACATCATCATCGTCATCATCAGGTTCTAGGAAATCGTCATCATCTGTGTCCTCGTCAAAGTCTCCGCTCTCTAAAGACTGAGGAGGTGATGTGGTAGCTCGGTTCTCATTCATCTCCCGACTGTACTTATTCTCCCGGGAGCGGTGACCCATACCAGGAATATCTCGCCGACCTGAACTGAAGAAAATAAACATGGTTTTGATTTTTTTTTCTAATTAGTATTCCTATTTAAGTAGATATGGTATGTTTTCCTTAAATTAGTACCTTTCCACCAAAAACGTATCAGGCCAGTGTGCCGTCGCGTGGCGACGGCGACGAGGTTGCAACAGTGGAAGGAGCGATCTCCCGTCCATATGCGCTGGAGGTTCCACTCCGCCCATATCCAGGAATGTCGGCGCCAGGTCGATGTTCAAAACTATATCATCCACGCTTCAGAGACAAAAATCCACTTATTATTAGTACTACAATAAATCCTCGTTTTGGCAAGAAGTGAAATAAAATGTGTGTGTAGTTAAGTACTGGTTATCTTTTCAAACAAAAACACGGATGCCAATAAATAACAGAAAAATATATTTTTTTTTTCTTTTTAATGGCGTTGTCAAATTATTTGCGTCCAAATCAACCAGTATTTACTATTCCACCTACATGGTTGCTGTCACTGGATAAAGACAAAAATAATATTTAAGTAGGTTTTGATATAAAATATAAAACCTCAAAAACGAAACGAAAAAAAAAACGTTTTCTTATTTATTTAAAATGGCGTCTTTCAGTTATTTTCATCAATACCAACCAACGCATATCCTTCCAAACAAAAACTAACAATAAGCTATGTAATACTATTGGTACTAAAATAACTTACACAGTGCCGGGCTCAACTCCTGGGCCTCGTACAAGGAACGGTACTCTGATATCAAACTCGAAAGGAAAGCTTTTTCCTTTGACTAAACCAAACTGGCCCAAATGGTAGCCATGATCTGACGTGTACACCAAATAAGTGTTGTCCAGTTCGCCAAGCGCTTTTAACTCTTGATAGACGCGTTCGACTGCCTGAAATAAATGTTTAGATATGTTAGATACTACGGATGTTAACCACATGCAATAATATCAATAGGCATTGCTAGGTAGGTACTGGTTGTTTAAAAAAAATAACCTTTTTTTTAATACAATAAAAAAACTTAATTCAAAAGAAATGCTTTTGAATATTATTTATTGCGGTTGCCAGACAAATTAGGCACGAAACGCCATTTTGGAATTTAGAACGCTTTATAGGCCGTAAAACTTTGCACTTAAGTGTCTGTGAGCTGTAAATGTACTTAAACGAACTACTTTAATAAGTTGCAACGTACCATGTCAACGCTCTGTAGTGTCTGAAGTCGTTTGGTCATCAGCAGGTCCGTGAACTGCCGATGGATGGGCTTCATCTTGTCAGTGACGCGGAGAATCCATTGCTTGTCCGGATTTGGCGCCATATCATACGTCGGTGTGCTGGAATTAGCAAGTTTTATATAAGTACACTAGTAAAAACTGAAGTCCATATTAAATAGTTTGGCCGTGTATTATGTACAGAGGTCCTTAAATATATTGTTTGAAATGTTTAGGTGTTACAATCAGATACTATGAACGAAAGGAATTTCGAATTTGCGTATTCCGTACCTATATTATATGGGTATATAATGCAAGTCACAGATATCTATACCTATCTATTTTGGATTTAACGGAAGGTTATGCCCAGGTGCCGTTACTGCAAGGACCACCGGACGACACGGTGACGCATATGGTGAATAACGGTGGCGGTATGAGCAGCTTGGGTTGAGCACCGCTATATTGAAGTAATCGGTTGCGGCCAACTCTCGCGCCTAGCTTTGTCCAGGTCGTTGTGCAGAGTAAGAGAAACTGGTAAGCGGGCTCCTTCAATGACACAATCAATCTATACAATCATACTAGGTACGAAAGAAGCCTATGCAACCGATGGAGAAGTTTCACTTAACTTGAGTTTTTTATATTATTCCAGACTATAATCTATTTCTATCAAACTCCCATTCAGATCCTTTGAGTAGTTTTACTGGAAAGCCTTAGCCTTACTTACTAATTAGATTCTCCAAAATATGCGACTATTTTCCCTATTTCATACAAGTTTTACTAGAATTGACGAAACTTTCTCATCAGAGTTTGCAACCCATTCCCCCTTATTACAAAACAAGTTTTATCTTTAGTCCAGGTTTAAACCATTGAGTCGGGTTTTGAATTTGGAATCTTATTTTCATCTACCTTCAATTCGAAATACAAAAACTGGCTCTATGGTTTAGTCCTAGACTAAAGTAAAACCTTGTTTTGTAATAAGGCCGATTATGTCCAAAAATTTCGCTCACTACAGTATTAAAGTATGCGCTGTACTCAACTCTAGGAATTAGGTACTATGTTGGTCCATGCACTCAGTTATGTTATTCTAACTTACATATTTTTGTTTCTACATTTTTTATGTTAAAGTCGGCAAAGGTGCTGAAGGATTACTCGTAAGACCAAAGGAGTTCGAGTACAAGTGCCTTAAATCTGTAATAATCCACAAGAAGGCAATACTTCTTGTTTGCTTGTGGGTTGTTGGAGATTTAAGGATAGGGGATTATAAGATTGAGGTTGAATGATTGGGTATCAGGTAACCTCCCACAATTCATCTAGTAAGTAACTAAATCTTTTTTTTTTCAGTCATGAAATGGTTCTTCAGAATCGCATCACGTCAAGTTCCTAAATTACCTAGATCTCAGTTTGGCATACACAAATCAATGGTAAATATAGCTAAAGTGAAGCTAAACCAGATCATACATAGAGGTTTATACCTACCTAGGCATATAAAGCATGTATAACATAGCAAATACATACCCAACCTATATAGGTACATATTAAGGTACCTACTGCGATACGAAACAGTAGCTCAACTTTACACAGATACAACTCTATCTACTAATAAGTATCCACAAACAACTAAAAAGGCAAAGCTCAAATTTATATTCAAATAAATAAGTAAGTAATAAATTACAAAGAACTTTTAGGACTTTAATTATTTATTAAGTAATTTAAGATTAGCTGAGCTGTCCTCGCGATAAATTAGCAGATTTATGTTTATTTTGTTGTTTCTTACCTACCCATAGCCATGTAGGTAGGTGCAACCGACAAAAGGCAACGTCCTAAGGTGTTGGAATGAGGTCAAAAGGTCTTAAGTTTATAAGTGGGAGAATGGTTATAGTTGTCTAATGTAGGTAGGTAGGTCCTACTTACAAGAGAAGAGTGATACGTGTTAATATTCGAATATATTTAACAAAAGTATAAAAGTCTCTTGGATCTGGAGATACGCTGATTTTGTTAGTAGGTGAGAAATTACATAATAAAAAGATATAGATAATTATGCTCAATATGTAACTATAGAAACTAGGAATGTATGAATGTTATTTTTTTAATATCCATATCTTTTATATAAAAATGAATCGCAAAATGTGTTAGTAAGCGCATAACTCAACAACAACGCCTGGACCAATTTTGCTAATTCTTTTTTGTTGTGTTTGTAATTGTCAGGAGAAGGTTCTTATCAAAGAAAATATTAGAAAAGTAGGGGGATTAGGAAAAAGTGACCCTTTCATAGCGAGATAGTTAGACCCGTGCCAAGCGGGGGCGGGCCGCTAGTAAGTATGTACATAAAGATAAGATTTATAAACGAACAAAAGTAAATGATAGGTATTTAATCGAAAAAAAAATTAGGCCGTTGAAAACAAAATTGACCATATAGGTATTATGATCTAACTAAAAACAAGGTTTAAAAGATTCATTCTACATCATTATTACATATTAAAGGTACATTTTAGACATATTTTTTTATTCGCTTTTGTCGGCACCGCCCGAGGACAGGTTTCTGCGATACGCCCGACCATGCGACCACACAATACGCTGATGGCTGAATATTAAAACACAGGGTTACCATAATAAAAAAACTAGAAACTAGTTAGTAAATACTTCGTGTCTGGAAACCTTAAATGAAGATTTATTATGCGACTTTTAATTACTTGTTTGCTAATGATATACCTAGTATCTTGATACCTATTAATAACTAATACCAACCTATTGACTAGGTATTTGCTCATCTATGAATACTAAATATTTATTGATGTCTTTATTATAGATAAATCAATTATAGAAATTGCAAATACATACGATTGTGCAATCAGGTACCTAGTTAACTCTATTCCAGATTTTACATCCAAGTTGTTTAGTGTATTATAATTACCTAAATTTGATATAAATAGCGCTTACCAACTTGCCGTGTGCCTACTTCAAAACTCTGATCAAACTTTTAAAAGCATCCCAACACAAATATATGTAGGTATACCAATAATAGGTATTCGTAAAGTAGAGAGTTTTAATTGAACTTCTTTTAGTTTCAGATTGTATTTAATAAATGCTTTGTAGCTATTGAAAAATAAAGAAAGCCGAAATATTAAGTTACCTACCTCGATAGGCACTCTATAAGACAAGCTATTGCAAAAATAATGTGGGTAGGTATTTACAAAGTACACCTACCTACAATGGTCATCTGAATCGTCACAATGGTTATAATATTTACAGAAATCAGGAACAGGTTACAAGAGTTCATTAAAGTATCAGTATTATCGCTTCGTGGAGAATTTAAGAGTAAAAAATTAATATTATTTTTGTAACAACCCTGATGCTTCGTTCAAACCCATGTTGGATTCTAGTTACTGGCGCCAATAAGTCGGAGATGGTCCACCGCGGCATGCATGCAACATGCACTAATGAAATGAGTATAACATCTATCCAACATAAGCTATCTGGAACTAATGTCTTTCAATTTCCATTTTAAATGTTTTTTATCCTTAAAAGTGGAACTATTTCGCGATTAATAATTGTTAAATAAAATTTGTATGCAAGAAGAGATAAGATGCGTTGATCGGATTGGATCTTTATAACTAGTAGTTTATTTGAAGTGGAAGTATGTACTTTTACATAGGTACAGATTAACTAGAGATTAAGTGGAATGGATTCTTGGCACATCGCTTGTCATGTTGAGCATTGAGTAGCTCTCCTAAGATCAGAGACTTTGCCTTTTATAACCTCTTATATAAGTTACATAGGTACGTGAAACCACATTTCTAATCATAACAGAAGATTTTATGGACTAATCCTAATGGGTTATTGATTTATTGCAGGGAAACTACAAATGTAAGGTTAGTACTTAGTAGTAAAAATCGTACTAGGAAACAAGAAACAATTTTCTGAATGGTAGCATAAAGTTTATAGCGGCCGCAGAACAATGGACCATACTGAGCTATGTTTATTAATAAGCTAGACTAATCAACAATATGTCGTTACGTAAGGGCTTTTTGTAATTCACTCGTGCTTTGCTCTACGCTTATAACTATTAACTTACGATTATAAGTACAATTAATTACTGGTTGTTATTAAAATAAAGTTTTATTAGTGAAAATTAGCTTCTACATAACCAAAATTTTGAAAACTTATGTCAGCAAAACTTACTACTATCACTATCATACTTATGTAATAAACGCTTTCAATGTACTTTCCCAAAGAAATAATGAAGGTAATATTTGTCCAAATTTACCAAAGAAAATGATATTGAATTATGACTGATTGTAATATAATGAAAGTATTGCATATAATTGTTCATTGTGTGTTATTGTTAATTTAAGTATATGGTATATATATGATACACTAAACACAAAAAGTAACGTTCTATTCGATCCAATTCAAGACTACGGACAGTCACATGGGGTAGGTTAGGACTATCGTACTATTGCATTTTTCTCATCATGTAAGAACACACGAAGAGAGAAAAAAAGAAAGAATCTTAATAAGGAATACATTTTAGTAACAGCTAAAGCAAGCATTATATATTAGTACTAATCACTTGATCATGTTTAAATCTTTTAACGTGCCAGTTCTCACATTCTACTTGCAAAAAAGTTCAAACGGTGCACAAACATGTAGGTACCTAACAGCCCTGACTGGTCAATATGGAAGGAACCTCTGACTTCATCCCAATATCGCAGCACGATTGCAAATAAAAAGGTTAAAATATAAATGTTATTTAATGATTCGGATAAAGACTGTCTCGTTTATTAGTATCGGCAACTTTCAACCGCTCTGAAGGCTTCCCCGACAGGTCTAATTTATGCAAGGACCAACGGCGTAGGTACCCGTCGAACATATCAACTGCACGATAAATAAAATCATGCAAGGAAGTCGTTCGTATAAAAAATAACGTAAATTATGCACATATATACATTCCTGATGTATTTTATGTGGAAATGCGGCTCGACTTTGTGTTTTTACTGAATGTAGACTACAACTGGTTTCGTTGAGTAAATAAAAAAATAACTTATTGTTTATGGTTACCTGCCTACTATATTATTAGTCGACGCAAGGAGAATATTGAAGGTAATTAGGCTTAAAGAATAATT